GCTGTGGAGGGGCGGGGCTCCATGCGCGTGCACAGGGCGCACCGCCGCCGCCGCGTCATCAGCGTGCGGCACGTGCCCGTGTTTACGTCCCTCGTGGAGCCGGCCGACGTCAGCAATCGAATGGCAACATTGTACCGATGCCGAGGCACAGAGTTTAGGAGGCCGATCTCTCGGTCGGCGGTCCGGCGCGGGAGGCGGAGGCAGAGCGGAGGCGGAGGCAGAGCTGCGGCGTGAGGTCAGCCCCGGCGAGCGGCGGACGCGCGCCCAGCAGCCGCGCACCCCGCACACGCAGTCCGGCGGCCTCGAGCGGGGCGCATCGGGCGGCCCTCGGCCTGGCGCTGCGGTAGCACGGCTTGTAAACAGATCCGGCCGCACGTGACCATGTGAACTACCTGCTCTGGGGACGCGTATTGTGTCTTCCGAGAGCCGCGCCACAAAGGAGCCTGACGGCCTGCGAGCGGAGGGAAGGGCACCGGCGCTCTAAGATGGCTGAAGGCGCCCGGCGAGGGTGAGCGGGGGGCGCGGCGCAGCCACCGGCGAGACACGGCCGCACAGGCCGGGCGGGCCCTCCCGGCGGCCCGACGCCTGCGCCACCATGTCGTTTGCGCTGGAGGAGACGCTCGAGGCCGACTGGGTGGCGGTGCGGCCCCATGTGTTCGATGAGCGCGAGAAGCACAAGTTCGTGTTCATTGTGGCCTGGAACGAGATTGAAGGCAAGTTTGCCATAACCTGCCACAACCGGACGGCCCAGAGGCAGAGGAGCGGCTCCCGGGAACAGGCGGGGACGCCGGCATCCGACGGGACCCGTGGGCCAGGCAGTCCGGCCACCAAGGGCCGGCCGGAGCCCGCTGCCTCTTCCACGGTGCTCAGGAGCCCCGGGCCGCGGCAGAGCTCGGCCTGGGCGGAGAGTGGCTCCCCGCGGAGCGCGCGCAGCCTGCGGGGGGACCCCGTGCCGCGGGGACCTGGCGGCAAAGGGCCGGAGAGTGCGCTCCGGAGCCCCGCGCGCGCCAAGGCCAGCCCGGTCCGCAGAGGTACCGAAGGCCGGGATGCGGCTCTGTCAGTCCCCAAAGAGGGTCCGGTGTCGTCCGTGAGGGTGCTGAGCGCCTCCGGGGCGGTATCGGAGGAGATCGAGGTGCTGGACCTGGTGAGGGAAGACGAGGCGTCCCTGCCGGTGCCCGACCCGGAGCAGCAGCCGCCGGCCGCCGCCGAGCTGGAGTCCCCGGCTGAGGAGTGCAGCTGGGCCGGGCTCTTCTCCTTCCAGGACCTTCGGGCCGTGCACCAGCAGCTGTGCTCGGTGAACTCGCAGCTGGAGCGGTGTCTGCCGGTATTCCCCGAGGAGCCATCTGGCATGTGGACCGTGCTGTTCGGGGGCGCCCCCGAGATTAGTGAACAGGAGATCGACACTCTGTGTTACCAGCTCCAGGTCTACCTGGGCCACGGCCTGGACACATGCGGTTGGAAGATCCTTTCCCAGGTGCTCTTCACCGAGCCCGACGATCCCGAGGAGTATTACGAAAGCCTCAGCGAGTTGCGGCAGAAGGGCTACGAGGAAGTGCTGCAGCGGGCCAGGAAGCGCATCCAAGAGGTAAGAGGAAACCCCGCTTCCCTGCCTCCCGGGCGAAAGCGGGAGACTAGCTCCTAATTTTTCTGCCCACGGAAAAAGGAAAGAGACGGGATTCTTGATCTTGCTTCGTTTAATTAGCTCGGCAGAGAACCTTTGAGCTGTCTTCTGCCTGTCTTCCCCGTTGTTCAGGTAGAGTCGTTGGAATAAGTGCGCCCAGTGTACTACTTAGTAGTACTGGAAAGGAGGCGAAAGTACGCAAGAGATTCTGTAAACTTGGGCTAAGTGAGCGAAATTGGATAATAAAGGAGTAGTAGCTTGCCCAGACACTTGCTGGGTGTCCTGTTGATGTACTGAAAATAGTCTGTCGCGTTATGTGCCTTGGCAACATAGGCAGATGTGGAATTTACTTGTATTTTCAGTGTTTCGTGGTTTTGTATGTGCTGCACCACTGCCCTATAACCGAAGCCCTAAATTCAGTTTTGAGTGTGTTGACTTGTCCAAATGAGAACGTACCAACTGGCAATTGGACACAAATATATTTTTAGACTATCTGAAGTCTGCAGATGGCTCAAGTTTCAGTCCTGTGTTAGGTAGAAGGAAAGGCCTGGGCAGGAATGCTTGTTATACTTTTATATGTCGTGTAACAGCTTTTTCCATGCTCTGTAATCCTTAAACTAACAGGAAATAATGAGGGAAACGCCTGAATAGCTATATGAATGGAGCGCTGCAGTGGTAAAGTCATGCCTCCTTACCAGCTTCTGAAGGAAGTTTACTAAAAATCATTTAAAATGGGTAGTACAGCTAGTTTCTCAAAGCAATGGGCTGTTTTAGGGTTTTTCTTTCCTTTTTGTTTTCTGTGGTTTAATTTTTTTTTATTTTTATGTGTGTGAGTGTTATGTTATGCACCCGCGTCCTGCCGTGCCAGTAAAGGCCAGAAGAGGGTGTCCAATTCATTGGCACTGGAGTTACAGACTGTTGTTAGCCACCATGTGAGTGCTGGAATTCGAACCCGGTTCCTCTGCAAGAACAGCCTGAGCCATCTCTCCAGCCTCTCCCCCTCCAACTGACCTGGATCTCATTATGTAGACTACCCTGCCTCTGCCTCCCAAGTGCTGGGATTAAAGACTCAAGCCACCACACCCAGATCAATTGACTGTTTTAATAACGTATGTTTAAGTTAGATTTGGGGTGGGGAAAAGTTTTATGGGTTTTTTTTTAATGTCATCTACCTACATATATATATTATTTAAATCTTACTATTAGGTCAGGAAGCTGGAACTTTTTCAGGTTTCTTAATAGAAAATTAGATGTTTTCTTTGCTATCCTTGAATATTTAGGAAAGTCTTTCTCATACCACTGTAGTTTTACAACTTACTCCCCTCCATGGTGTACTGTATGGTAAACATCTCACATGATAATCTGATCCTAGAGTTCAAAGTATCTATTTTTATTTCCCTTTTTCTCACTTCCTGGAGACTTCTGCCTTTAAAAAGTCATTTTGGAAGGAAGTGATAAATGCCTTCTTTGTAGTATTCATATTAACCTGTATTTCATTTAAGTGCCAAAAACAAAATTAGTGTATCTATTTGTAGTGCTAGTGTTTCCCAAAATTGAAATTATACATATAAAATTGCTATTTTTTTCCAAACCAGAAATTTTTTTATCCCTAAAGTTCAGAAAAGATGATTGTCTCCTTTTGAATTCAAATGGGTCAAAAATGAGCTTCCAAAAATACAATTAGTTTTCTAGAACTCATTATGAGAGGTGGCTTTTGTGTGTGTGGTTTGTTTTTTGAGACAGGGCCTCATTATGTAGCCTTGGCAGGCCTAGAACTCCTTGTGTAGATTTGACTGGTTTTGAACATTGATCCTCCTTGCCACTGGGATTAAAGGTGTATTGCACCACACTCTGCAGGTTTGCATTTGGGGCGGGGGCAGGGTCTCCCTGTAGCCCCAGCTGGTCTGGAAATCACTTTGTAGACCAGGGTGGCCTTGAACTCACAGATCCATCTGCCTCTGCCTCCTGAGCTCTGGACTAAAGACGTTTTTTTAAAAAACATTTTCCTAGTGAAAATTCTGCTAACTGAGTGATTGATTGATAGTCTCACTTTATAGCATGAGAATGGCTGGGATCCTACATCACTTTGTCCAAGCTGGCCTCAAATTCTTGGTTCTCCTGCCTCAGCCTAAGTGCTGGAATTCTAGGGGTGAGCCACCGCACCTTGCTGTTTTAGTCTCTTTAGCAAAGGAAAAAAAAAAAAAAAAAAACCTTAAAAATACTTTGTTTTGGTAAACAAAATGATTATAAATTTGTTAATAATAATTTCTGGTTCTTTATACAGTTGATATTTCAAATATAGGTTTGTTTTTTTCCCCCATTGTTTTTTGAGACAGGGTTTCCCTATAGCCCTAGCTGTTCTAGATCTCACCATGTAGACCTTGCTGGCCTGGAGCCTCCTGCCTCTGCCTCTGGAGTGTGGGGATTAAAGAAAGGCCTGTTCTACCACACCCAACTCAAATAGTTCTTAAGGACAGACAACAAATAAATTTATTGTCCTTTGCTTGTAATACCTACCCTTACTTAGATTAAGAAGTTAAAAGTTCAAGAAAACTGATGTGATTTGATGAGTGATGTCTACCATGAGGCTGGTAATGGAAGTGTATAGAGGATACCTCTAAGTGACTTCTAAGTAACTGCATTATGGGGTTTCTGCAGCTGCTTGAATTATTACTTGTCTCAGTAGGTTTTGTGTGTGTGTGTGTGTGTGTGTGTGTGTGTGTGTGTGTGTGTGGTGTAGTTTCCAGTATAGCATGCAAAGAGGTATAATACTCCCAGGCTTTGCAGTTATTAACTCCTCTGTGGAGTTTATTTTTCTACGTGGCTCAGTATTGTCTACACCACAATTGACAATAGCTTGTGGAATTCTACATGATTATTTAAGCTAGATATATCTGATAAGTTATACATGTTAATAGATAATATTACTTAGGGAATTTAGTACTTTGGTCCTGTTTTTCCTTTTGATTTTAAAGTATTTATTTTATGTGTATGAGTGTATTATTACCTGCATGGATATCAGTGCACCTGTGTCATGCAATACTCTCGGAGGTCAGAAGAGGGCGTCAGATTGCCTGAAACTGGGTAACAAACAGTTGTTAGCTGCCGTGTAGGTGCTGGGAACCAAATCTGGGTCCTCTGCAAGAGCAGCCAGTACTCTCAGTATCTGAGAGTCCCTTAAATTTATCTTTTCAACCTTTTAAAAATTCATTTCTATATTATGACTATTCCTAGCTATAAAGTTCACACCTGCTTTCCTTCAAAATGGTCAGTAAATTATTAGGGGAGGTTTTTATTTCTAGTTTTAGAATTCAAACTCAGGGCCTTTCACCTGCCAGGCAAAATGCCTTACTGCCATCCTCAATCCACTCCACTTTTAAAAAATAAAACAGATAAGCCAGGCATAGTTGTACATGCCTTTATTCCCAGCACTAGGGAGGCAGAAGCAGGCAGATCTCTTGTGAGTTCGAGGTCAGCCTGGTCTACCTAGTGAGTTCCAGGACAGCTGGGGCTACAGGGAGACCCTGTCTGAAAACAACCAAAATAAAATAATAAAACAGACTGTATAGCCATATGGTAAACTTCTCAAGGTCACTGACCTTTGACACTAAGTTTTTGGATTTTGAAGCAGGGTATCTTTGTGTACCCAGGCTGGCCTTAGGAGCCTGACTGTTAGAATTACAGGTGTGTGCCCTCATTCCTAACTTGGTAAGCTTCTATATACCAAAAAGGAATAGAGTTGCTGTGGATGTTACTTGATGGAATGCTTGCTTGCTATACATGAAGTCTGATTTCTTTCCCCAGCACTGCATACACCTGTTTTACGCTATACCTATAATCTTGCACTGGGACTATGGAGGCAGGAGAATCCAGAAGTTCAAGGTCATCCCATCATCCTCTATCCAGCAAGTTTAAGTCAACCTGGGATACATTAAACCTCTTTTCAAAACATAAAAATCAATAACATACAGAACAACTATTGTACATCATCTGTTCCCTTCTATAAGGTTGCAACACTCATATTGGGGTTTAATATTTGGAATACTCTTTTAGCATTTAGCATGGGTTGCCAGGCCTGTAACACCAGTGTCTTTGGGCTGTTAAAGCAGGAGGAACACAAGTTCAAGACCTACCTGGGAGAACTTTAGTGAGAGCCTATCCAAAAAACAAAAAGTAAGAAGAGAACTGGGGAGATAGTTCAGTGATGAGCACTTGCTTACCTGTGAGATGATGTGAGGGCTCTCAAGAAGTCCTCCCAGCTTGTCATGGTGGCTCATGCCTTTAATCCTGAGGCAGAGGGGTGGATGTCTGTAAGATCTAGGCTAGCCTGGTCCATATAGCCAGTTCCAGACCAGCTGGGCCTACAGGGAGACCCTGTCTCAAAAAAACAAAAACAACAAAACAAAAGACCTCCTGTCTTTGTGATTCACACCTTTGGGCAGCTGACTGCAGGTGATTATTATAGTTTGTGGGAATTTACAACTTATACAATACTAATAAATTACTTTAGATGACAGGAATGATAAGATTGTTACTACTTAAAGCCTCAATCCAAATAAAATAAGAAATTAGTTATTGGTAGGTTTGTCTTAGACTTTTTATATGAGTTTACTGTAGTATCTGCTGTTTATACAGTAAGCACCCAATCTTTATATGAATACAAGTGTCATAAGGCTTCTAAACAGTGCAGCAGTTGGCTGTGGTTGTTGGTCAAAGTTGAGGTTTGTATTACAGTGTGTGTGCATGGGTGGCCTATACTAAAGCTTACCTCTGATGACCTAGATCTTGTAAATAATGGTTTCTGTGTAATCACAGCTATTTTTTAAATGATTGATTGTGGTACTTTAGCTCACAAATCCCAATTACTACTGGAGGCTTAATTAAGATCTAAAAATCTGTTTACTTTGGAATTTATTATGTTGACAAAAATGAGCTAACTTCTAACTTATTTCTAGTTGAAACCA